TGGTGGAAAAATAATAATAACGACAATGATGATAAGAATAAAAACAGTCACAGTGATAAATCCAAGTGGAATGCATCAGGTCCGCCGGTATGATCACGCTTTTTTGCACTGAACTTGAGGTAATCAGATCGCTCACTGCATGAATGGTTGTTTCTTTGCACCTGCCTTTTGCGCTTACTAGCGTAAATCATCATAAATTTTGAAAAAAGGAAACGAACAATTTCCGTTTAAAGGTCTTTTTTGCAAATAACCTAGCAGTCCAGTAAGCATTTTTTACGCCAAAACTTTTAAGTGCCATACATGAGAACCAAGTGTATCAGAATTGGATTTGAAATCTTCAAGCTATACGTGGGCGAGAAATATACCCTTAAAATTTCAGCCTTCCAACCCTTTGGTTGCCGAGTTAGCAATTTTCCCGATAAAACTTTTATGCGCCGGTAGAACGTGAGAACTACAAACACCTGAAGAGCTAAATTTGAAATCTTTATATTGTACTTGGGCAGGATACATTCCATTAAAACTTCAGAATTCCAGCTCTTCTGGTTACAGAGTTAGCAATTTCCTGTCAAATCATTTACGTGTCCATCGTGAGAACCACGAAGAACAGGGGGCCAAATTTGAAATCTTTAGCTCATACACGTACAAAGAATATTCCTGCAAAGTTTCAGCTCTCTGCCTTGTCTTGTTCCCAAGATCACTTTCCTGCCAAGAAATTTGCATATTTTTTTGAAGCATCCGTACGTGGGACTCAGGTGTACGCGGATGACAGTATCAAAACGAGACGGTCGCACAGGTAGTGGGCACATACTTTTAAAGTTTAAGCCTTCTAGCTTTCTTGGTTCTCGGGTTGGGAGTGGATGATAAAAAGTACGAACACACAGACACACGCAGACAGCCTCTTGCCAATATACGTTTTTGCTGTAGCGCTGTTACAGCCAGCAAAAACGCATATTGTCGAGAGATTTTCTGTGTGTTCAGAAGCGAATGCATTTTATTACCCATTTTCATCTTAGCAACTAGGAAAGCTGGGGCTGAAACTTTGGGTATATATTCCCATCCCATGTGTCATCCTCTTGTCTCAAGATGTTCCCCACAATGCCTAAACCCCGCATACGAGCTCCTCAAAAAAATATGCAAGTTTCTTTGACGGGAAATGATTTCACGAACCAGGCAAGGTAGAAAGCTGAAATTTTACGGAGATATTCTCTATGCACGTGCGAGCTAAAAATTTTAAGCTCAGCTGTCGAGCATGCTTGTGAAGCGCGTACGATCGCGTCGAAGTTGCAACTTGGATACTGTGCTAACTCGAAAACTTGCCAAAAAAAATGACTGAAATTTTGTCAGCATATTTTTCGCCCACATAGGAATCCCCATATGTAAAATGAGCACCAAATTGCACTTGGGCGACCACTTGGAGTTCTTCAAAGATATTTGCAGCGAAGTGGATATTCCGCTTAGCGGATAAACTGCGAGGCTGAAAATTCGCTGAAATATTCTACTTTCAAGTGCGGTCTTAGTTCTGTTTGGAAGTGGAATTCCCTCCAGGTAGACATGAGAAATATTCAACTTTACCGAAAAATAAGAAACGAGTGCGTTTTGCAGCGAACGGCCGCCCTCACCCAAATATGTAAATGAGCATTAGTTAATATGCAAACATGGATTTTTTGACAAACGGTCGCTCGAGCAATACTTCCACTTTTTAGTGAACTGGAAATTTGCATTTTTTCAAAAAATTTGCTTTTTCATTTTTTCAATAAAATGCTTGCACTTGCCGAAAAAACAACCGCGTTTCATGCAAAAATCTGTAATCATGTACCTGGAGGTCCGTGCGGCTCTATAATGCACCACCTTCATCGCAACTGATGCCCTTCCTCCTGCATGCCCGAAAGGGCCAAAGCACAGCCAATACGAGCTCAAGTATTAGGCTATAACGTAAGGATCATTCCTGCGAGTTTAGTGCAAAAACACATGATCGCACCGGAAAGCCTGGTGCGTTCCAGCCTGGGTTACATTTGCATTTATGCAAAAACACATAAAAAGCATGAATATGAAATGACAATGAAAAGTCATTGCGATTACAATTGTAATAGTAATAACATTTGCAAAACATTAGTATGGAATTGTTTAAATAAGACAGCAAGTGTTTATTTTGAGATACAAGTAAAGCGAGATTCCAAGTTCCCAACGGCTTAGTAATCAGATAATTAGGAAGGCTCCAATTGATTTGAACGCCAGTACCTAAAATACAGCTTCCAGGCTCTGGTTCACTTGTTCCAAGAGATTCCCAAATTAGTTCGACTTTTTAACTTTCAACCTAAAAATTCCAATTTCCGCAACAGCTTATGGCAAAAACGCCTAATTGCATCAGCCATCTGGCGCGCCATCATTTATTCTAGTTTCCGTGGTTGTTCTAAATTTCGCATATTTTCTTGTCTTTTTTTCTCCTTCTTGCCCACTACTTTGCGTCTAAAAAGGGAAATTTTTTTTAACTTAATTTAACATAGTGGTACTGAACTATTTACACAAAATAATTCGTACTGTCGACTTCAAATACTGCTGTTTCTCGATCAGTAAGTTCTGTAGCCTTTGCGAAAAGGAAGTAAAACCTTCCCGAAATAAAGAATTTTTTTCTTACACTGTCTTATATTTAACAAACGTCGGCGATTACCAAAAAAACATTTTTTTTTAGTTTTTTAGCAGCTTTTAGTTGCCAATAATAACATTTAGCAGAACAACATTAATAGTATATCAAAACAATAACATTTAGCGCTTTGAAAAATGATGGAGTTATTAATTTCTCGGCAAAAAAATAGGCCAAGTATTTTTCCCCTTGCAGGAGAAAATCGGACAGGGATTTCCCCATTCCTTTCACCCCTCTCGGCCGCATTCCTCTCACTCACCACCTCCCCTTCTATGCTTTCTTCCACGCTGACCGTACTCAACCACCACTCGAAGTGGCAACGTCTCCGTTTGCTTCATGAAAATTAAAGTAAGCGGGTGAAATAAAGAACCGACGACTCAGATGCGATGCCCGCAGTGGTGGAAAGGGCATTCGGGTAGCAATTTATATTTGCACGGAGTTAGAAGCGTTAGCCGAACAAGAGAAATGCTGTTTGTCATCGGAAATTAGCCTTCTTCCTATTTATTGTCTTTTTTTGGTACAAGGTGGGAACTGCGCCATTGGGAATTGTTAACTGGTTTACCACCTCTTTCGAGAGTCTTTTTTTCCGAAAAAAATCCCGTTTACTTCGAACTGCCTAATGATTTCATGGCTCAGAAAGGAGGTATGTTGCGCAAACATATACAAACACACACATATGCATACTCGCACATACACGCATACGCACAGACGCACACAAATGTATCCACACACACATTTTTACTCACTGGAATCATTTGTTTTTTATTCTTTTTTTTGGCTGATGTGTCATGGATGCTGTAATTTGCTACTTGGCAAATTTCGTCAATTCGGACGAAGACAAATGTTCTGTGGCGTCAAATGATAAAATCGCTTTTGTCGCAGCTATTCGCTCAATGTAGCAAATTTTGTTTCCTAAAAAAAGCGAAAGTTCCGCAAGTTTCTTGCACACTGCAGTAAACAACTGCTGCTGAAGTCGAATTTGAGACTGCTTAGTTTTGAGTATTGACCCAGCTGCGAACTAAATCTTATTTATTCCCATGCGATATAAGCATTAGCTTTAAATCACAGTAACAAGTGGAAGCTAATTTCACGTTTCTGGCCTCTTGCACAATGCGGAAATAGACGATTCAGGCTTCACCACAACACAGGGATATGCTTTACTGCTAAGTCGAGAAATCATAACATATGCGCTCACATACATACATACATAAAAATGCTCACATTCATCAAGCACAGTTACAAACAGACATACACACATAAAGTTTCAACGTCTTGCTCTCGTATTCATAAGAATACATTAAACAAGTGTAACAACTCATGAACTACTCATTTCGTTTTTTAAAGGATATGCATGAATCTTTGTTGTGAGCGTACGCTTAATCTAGAAAAGATGTCACTGGTGTTGTGTAGAAGGCCTTTTCTAATGTAGGCTCAACATCGCGCTTTGCGCTCTTTCGATTCTCGCTTTGACTTGAGCCCTGCACACAGAATCAAAAGATAATTTAAGTTTTGATCACTTTGGCCTGTTTTAGCAAATTTTTCAAATTTTGTCCAGCAAATAAGCCTCTCTTTGTACTTTACACTAGTAATGAAAAGCGATAACATTTAGAAAAAAACCGAATTTATTTTTGAGCGGACAGCAACGACTTGCTGGTAAGGTTGCGCATGGAGTGTGTTTCAAATTTTGCTGCAACAGCTTCGGCTCACAGCAGAGCAGTACTGCTACTAAAAAGATTGGCTTTCCCACTGACTGTTTAAATTGTCACTTCGAGCCCGAAAGTAATTAAATGTTAAAGCAAGATAAACCTAAGCGACTATTTAAATGACCAACGATTTCTAAGAAGTAATCCAAGTGTACTGTGGTTTTATTTACCTCAAAGCAAAGAAATTCTGCTTGAAAAAACGATTATTTTCTAGTTTAGTTTGGAAATTGGTCGCCAGGCACTGGATGGCGCTATGACAGCAGATATACAAATAAATGGGATTTCCAAATAGATCCGGATGCCGAGACTTTGGAAGGACTCACGCTTAGGGTTGTTGTTTATGTGGTAGGTTTTTCATGCAGTTTTTTGTATTGTACTGCGGTTACACATGCGTATGCTCACAGTGCATCCTTATTGTCAGCTTTTTAGCTATTTTTTAGGCACTTTTCGCATTTCTGGAAATAAGGAAAAGCGTACTTCGTGTGTCTGCTTATTGGTACTCATGTACCCGCTGCAAATTTTCAGCTCAAAGACGCGGAAGCTTTGAAATTTCTTGACGTTTTAAACTGGCGATTTCATGAAGTAAATAATATGGTCGGTTGTAGAAATACAGCAATTTTGCGAGAATGCATAATCTGACCGGTTGCAGCCTCAGCTTGCATAGCAATTCAAGACACAGTGCCAAAATAGCGGTGAGCCGGAAGTCTTCATGAAGGCAAAAAGGATGGCACTTATGACATTTAAAGTAGCTTACTGCTATTAAAAATTTTTTGAAAACTGTGCAGTTGTGCTGGTCCAGATCCTTGCTGCTCTCCACTACACTGGTGTGGTTTTGTTTTCTCACTCACAGTTTCTACAACAGTATTTTAGGAAGAGCCGTTTGTGATCAGGGCAGCGAATGCAATTGGATACGATGGCTATTGCATTGACCTTCTCATTGAAATGGCCAAAATCCTCAAATTCAACTTCACGATATTTGAAGGAGTCGATGGGATATACGGCATTGAGGTATCTGCATACTATTTACATTCAGCAGTCTTAGCAAACTGTGAAATAGACCGAAGGAAGAAAACAGTCTTTCATTTTGCCGTTTTGCTAGCACTGTGTAAAAAGAAGCTCCGATATAAATCACGCATGCTTTTTAAGCAGTTTTATCAAGCAATCCCTACCAACTGATGCAGTTTTGTCGATCATTTTTATAAACTTTTCGCATTCATACAAGCGCAAGTACACTTGCTGAGAAACCTGCATGTTTCTGCCGCTTTTTTTAATGCGTTTTTGCATATATGTAAATTGCAAAAACGCGTTTTGGGAAGAGGCTGTCTGTGTGGGAAGAGGCTGTCTGTGTGTGTGTGTGTGTGCGTGTGTGTGTGTGTGCGTGTGTGTGTGTGTCTGTGTGTTCGCACTT